GTCGACGACAATGACGATAATAACGACGTATCTGAATCTGATGATCTGAAAAGTAACAGTTCGGAACTTTGCGTCGCGATATCTCCGCTCGTAGGGCAAGTAGAAAAAAAATAAAATCACTTTTATCATACAATCCGTGTGGTGGCTATCGATTGAGCATACATAGAACGCGATCGGTTCTGCCGTTATTGAGATCCGATAATCTCGATCTGCCGCAACTCGTTGGTTCGCGTAAAGGAGGCACGGCAGTGTCGCTTCGCGCAGCTTAGCGCCGAGACACTACCAGTGTCTCCAGATTTTTTCGAAGACATCTGCAGATTTGCAATAGGTTTAAAAAAGGTCTTCCAAGAAACAAATAAATTTAAAAAACCGAGCATTGGGATGTACAAACGTTTCGTACGTAAGGCTAATAGCTGGAAAGGAACTATGTACATTTGCAGTCAGATTGATGAATACGTTTTTGCAAATGTCACACTGCCCAAACTTAATAGTTTTCGAAAGATGTTTCGCCAGAAAACCAGTAGCATAATATAATTTGCAATCATTTCTGGTTTGCCATAATCGTGTTCAACACACTCTTCAAAATCCCATTCTTCCTCTATAATCTTATCTAATTTACTTTTAACGATTTCCACTGTTGAGGTACAAGCTTTAGGATTGTGATAAATTGATTTTAATGTTTGTAAACTTATCGCTGGTGTGTTTTGTTCACCATTTGCTTTTGTAACAATGCAATTTCCAAATTTTGGAGATTTAAGAATGCTAAATGTGCTTAAAATTTTATGAATCTGTAGGGAAGTAGGAGTAGACGGATGGTCGTTCGTGCCTCCAGCTTGTCTTACTGAACCAAAAAAACGCTAAATATAAATATACGAAGAAAAATTAATAAAATACTAGATCATTTATGAAGTAATGAAAAATATTACCTTATTTTGTAATAAGATAATTTTGACCTAAAACAATACAATACGCATCTATTTCACGCTTTATTTAATATTTGTATAATTTTTTTTCTGCAAAATTTGTTAACTTAGTTTTCTTTGTCTTCACTTGTAGACTTGTACACTTAGTACGAAAAGTGTGGACAACGAACACAAAGAAAAAGTAAAGATTGAATTAAAATGATTGAAGTCAAATCTGAGAAGACTTCAATTGCCTATATTACATGCGATTGTATACATTGCTCGCTGATTAGCCCATTTAAAAATAAAATAATGTCATTGATGAAGCATAGAAAAGTTACTAGGCATCGGCCAATGTGAGTAATGTGTGCAATCGCATTCATGTAGGCAAATGGGATCCTCCCATCAAATCTCTAGTGGATCTTGATTTAACCTTCCCGTGCGGACTGAGTCAAAATCAGCGTGCTTAATTAAGTATTCGACGAGATCAATCGTTGACTTCAAAGTCACTCGGATACCCTCTGCTGTTTGTCTCGTCAAAAATTTGTTTTGAGGAATCTTTCTTTCATCCAACAACTGTTCCCAGGCGTCCAATTTCTGTAAAGATTCTTCTATTATCTGTAAAGCATAATAATTAAAACTAATGAATATTCATTAAAAATAATATAAGTTATTCAAATCAAAATAAAACTAAATATGTATATTTGATCACAGCTTAAGTAATACAATAGAATATGAACAAATTATAGTTTATTGCAATACTTTGAAGTCGGTATTTCCAGGTACAATTCCATAATCATTCCTTTTGAGAGCAGCAAACAATTCGTTAATCCATTCGCAAAATAAAGCAGTTGCTTCACAATCTGCGAAATCCATGGGAAAGTATTGTTTGTAAAACCGAAGACATTTGGCTGTTGATTTACTGAAAACCTAGAAAAATGTATAACGTTATATTTATATACTTTAAAAAATTTATCATTTTAGTAATTATTACCTGCGCAGCAAGGCTGACTCCCATTTTTGCCAAATTGTTTAGCTCTACATGTGACTTCTTTAATTTCGGACACAAACGTTGAAATGCACATTTGTCGTGTTTATATAATGCAACCAAAAATTCCCATTTTATAAGCTCTCCTCCTTCGGTCATCTACGAAAAAGGAATTACAATAAATAAATGTTTCAATTTATTAAAATATTGAATTATATATAATTTTTTTATATTATATTAAAAGTATACCTGAAGATTAGATTTGTACAATCTATTCCGTATTGTTTTTATTAAGCGGTGTATCAGAGAACACCCAAACTTTGCGGTCTCCACTGTCGGATGTGTTACGTCCAAACCCTTGAAAAAATTTTAATTGTTAGTGATCCTCTCGGAGAATGAAAGGAGCGGGAA